ACAACTGTGTCCTGACCAGCTGAAACTCAGGGCCTGAGGCTCCTCTCAGTTACACCTCAGTCACTTCAGTGCAGTGGCACAGGTGTAACAAAGGGAAATGTGGCTCCCAAGTGCCAATTCTTCCTGCACTTAAATGGAGCAGCAAATGAGAGGAGAATATTTCCCTCACCGTGTATCTCTTATACAACCAATGACACCAAAGATGAATTTGGCCCCTCTACACCATGGGTTACATGGCATCCTGGAAATGGGTTAAATCCCCTTATACTGCAGAAAATGGAATGTCATCGCTTCATTAATCTTTGCACAATGCCTTGCAGATGTCCAGTGCTCTGTTGGGGGAAATATCACTCTCTTTTCCAGGTTAAAGAGGACTGCTTGGCTTCTTCATTAAGGGTGATTTCCTTGATTTATAATTGTCTCATGGTGGTCCTCAGAAAGCATGAGAAGATCGTATTAAGAACATAGGACTCACCAACCTGGATCAGCCCCGTGGTCCATCCAGTTCCATAACTGGTCTTCAACAGTGGCCAGTACCAGAGATATCAGAGGAAGGTGCAATAAACTCTGCACTCAGCAGTTACAACCTAACCAACCCCCAGGGATAGCTTCCTCCTAACCCCCCAGTAACTAGAGTTTGGCTTATGCCCTGAGGGTTCATATCCCTTCCAAATCCCTGCTATTTTAAAACCCTTATTGTTGTAACTGTAGCTGTTCTTGGGATCCATATAACATGTCTGATTATTCTCCCAGTCCTGTTAAGCTCTTGGCCTCAATGGTACCTTGTAGCAATGGGTTTCACATGGAAAAACTAGCAGCAGTTCCACTGAGGTCTGTAGCGAGTCATGGCTTTCTGATGTGGGGAAGGAGGCACTCTTTTATGCCAGGTAAATGTGGCCAGTCAAGGATGAGGTCAGGCATTTCCACGGAAGCCCAGGCTCCTTCTCCCCCTCAACCCAAGGTTAATGGCTAACAACCAAACTGGGAACTGTGAGGTCCACTGTCTCCGGCAGGGAGGGGACAAGTGCGTGGCATGTCAAGCAGCATTACGGTACATTATGAGTGCTGGAATGAGACTTCAGATTCCATTACAGAAGTGGAGTTTAGCTTCCTGCCATTAGTCCTGAGCCCTTTATCTGCAGGGCAGCCATCAGCTCGGTACGCACAAGCAGAATGGAGCGTGTGCTACTCTGCTAACCTCTCTTCCCACTGGGAGGGTGGAATATACCACACAGATTCTCCTAAGAGACCCCAGCTGTCAAACCACTTTTTCCTACCCAAGGGATCCCATCTCCCCAGGAGCAGGAGTCCCAAGGCATCTCCCCATATACCCCCCCCCCTCCACTCAGAGGCTACCCCAAGCCTGACAATATTATCCCTGACATATATGGGCCCAGGAGGCTCTGGAAGGGAATGCCTGGCAGAGGCTTTTTTGCTCAACCCCTCAGAAATGTGCGCTACTTTTGGTTTCCCTCTCTCCCTGCATTGACTCAATCTTTCACCCTCCATGGGTGGCCACAGCATGGTGTGGGACAAAGCTAAGGTAGAATTAATCCTGGCTGGCGAGCTTTCAAAGAGGCCACAAGCTAAATAAATGGGCTGCAGCCTATTTCAATGGCTGCTATATTTAGCACTAGAACATTTATTTATAGGCTTGGCAGCCTGTCTGAGTCAATAAAAGCCGGAGAGCTGGAAAAAGGCCGTTCCTGTGTTTTGCGGGCAGTAGCGTTTGTGGCCAAACGGAATGTGACAGGCAAGACGGGGGTGTAGTAGCACCCTGCCTTGGAACTAGGGCAAAGGTGACAGGACAATCCCGGACATGTCAGGATGCACATACACATCCAACCTTTCCCGTCCCCTGCCCCACAAGGGCATGTGGGCCAACATGCGTGCATGCATATACATCCTGAGCAGTGCACACATAACACCACATGTATTCACATGCACCCCCAGCATGCACACAAGGAGACACATTTTGCCATGTGTGCCCATGCACCCCAAGACATGATAACCACATGTACATAAGCACACTCCTATTGCCGTGGCCACACAAGTCAGACGGTGAAACTGAGAGCTGATTTGCTTCAACAGTATTAGCAGAAAAGAAATGCTTTCCCTTTCCTAGTTATAGATGGAGCTGGGGCCGTCCTACTGCGGAAGCCATGCTCCAGTTACACTCCCAGTCTCGAGCACAGTAGCATGTCCACGCCAGGGCACTAGTCTTAGGAGTTACACTGCCAGCCTCCACGGACTGCAGTCTGCATCCGTTTGTTACATGTGCTTCCATGCCAGGCCTTGCACTTATCTCTGCCATCTCTCTCCGGAGCAGAGGCATTTCCAGCATGGATGCAATAGGACTGGTTAGTTCTGACTTTCTGGTTGATCCCTGGTACGTTGCCTCAGGGCGTGAAACCAGTTCTTTAGCCTTAGAGCCAAGGAGCTCAGGTAGCAGAGACCCTCAATGGTGCCATTAGTGCCTGTGTTAGGTATTACTAATAATACAGGGGTAGACCCTGGGAAGGACAGATGTTTACCAGGCATGATATCATGTGGGGACTGCTCATTTCCCCCGTTCAACGAGTGCAGGTACCTCGCATTTATGGTACATACCCTGCAGCAAAGGGTAGCTATAGGTGAGAGGGGAAGGCTACCAACTCTTCCATAGTGCCAGGCTCTGTGGCTGCCTGACAGACTGTCAGTACCTGTGATACAAGGGAGAGAAACTTCCAACTGACCAGCTTACACCGCAGCCACTGGCTCAGCCAGGGCCAGATGCCCCTGCCGTGCAGCTGATGGAGCTGCTGCCTTCTGAGCAAAAGGGCACAGCTTGATTCTCACCTGAGGTGGTGTGTGGGTCTTACACTGATGGACACAACCATCCCTAAATTATCGAGTTCCCCCCAAGCCTATGGAGATCAGCCCTCTCCTTTGGCAGCCCGCTGAGCAAAGCTGGAGTGAAACCCTGCCTTTTGTCACAGACCTTGTGTGATGCAGCCACATGGGATCCCAAACACACAGGGATTACTGGGCATGATGGCAGGTGTTGTGTATGCAGTGGCAGGGAGCCTCCCAGGTGAAGGTGAAGTCTGCAAGGCACAAGGGAAATGCCCGTGTGCACATGCCTGCATTAGAAGAGGTTCGTGGTCATGAAAGCAAGATGCTCACAGCACCGGATAAGGCCAGAGATCTTGTAAGCAAGCACAGTGCAATGTCCCACATGGCTCTACCAATGCACTGCCGTCTAGATCTGACACACTCCCCTCTGTGGTGCCTGTGAGTCTCCTCCCAGCTCTACCAGACCACTGATGTAATAGGTACATGCTCGCCACTGCCGGGTGAATACTCATACAGGACACATGGCATGAATAAGGGCTTGGAGCACTTCTCCTTTGTGCTCCCTGAGTCACATCCGCTCTTAGTCATGTTGCACTTGGGGGGGGCTCCTCTCTGGAGGAGCTATCTGGAGCTCCCTCGCTTGGAAACATGTGTGCGTGTGAGAGAGAGAGAGAGATCTCCTGCCCTTGCCTAAAAAACTCCCGCCTTCCTTGGCCATGGGCTGGACATTGCTGCATGGGAGAAAGAATGCCTCTGGCCCCTCTGAAGGTATAACTGGTGAAGTTAGCCAAGCAGTGGGGCAAAGTTTTGCTCGCTGCTTCTGAGCCGGCTATGTTGTCAAAATCCCCTACCACTCTAGGTCTGTCCTCTAACTGCCCAGAGAATGGAACAAGTATCCTACCTAGGTCCAGTCATTGCAAAGTACAAGGGTGGGGGATCCCACTGTTGCTCCAGAACGATTAACTGGTGGTAGCCATTCCAGGTAATCTGCCTGAGGACTGCGGAACTGCATCAGAATTAATGCTCTCCTGGTTTGACAAGGTTTGATTTGTACAAGACATCAAGATTTAGCTGTGCCTGCAGTTACCACTTGGCAATGGGTGGTGGCTCCAGATGTTACTAAGTGTTATTAAGTGTGTTAAAGTCAATTAGCGCTTTAGTTTGCTGGAGCCTGATTGATACAGTGCCCACTCATGCCCTCTCCCCCATAGTAAGGCTGCTGAGAATGGAGGGATTGTGTTTCAGTTTAATAAAGTTCTTCAGAACTGGTCACTGATCTACACATCCCAGGGGTTTGAAATGAAGTGAGGACAGGTATTCAGCTAGCGAAGGGATAAGTTCCAGGCTGACTCAGTATTGTGTCAGTCCTGGCTGGATCTATGTGGGCGTCTAAGCTATAACTATCATACTTAGCAATTACTGAATTACTTTGCAAACACCAACTAATTTGTGCTCACAATGACCAGGGCAGGCTGATACAATATCAGGCAGTGCTAGATCAAGAGGAAGGTGGGAGTGTTAGATAACAATTCCTCCCCCTCTCATTTGGATGGGGCATAGTTGGGTTGCATTACAAAAATGTAAACAGATACCACTGAACCTCCTGTATTCTTGTGGCCATTGGGAGTGTAGTGTGTTCTGCCTCAGTCATGACCAGGGACACCCCCACCCCTCCACGGGTCCAGTCCGAAGCAGAGACTGGCCAGCTTTTCACATTCTGTGGGTGGGCGTTGACGGCGTATGGGCATGCCCAGATCATGCATTTTAAGGCCAGAAGGGACCTTTGTGGTCTAGTTTGACCTCCTGCATAGCACAGGCCATAGACCCTCACTCAGTAATTGCTGCATCGAAGCAAAGATGTCAGGTGATAAAGAATAAACCACATTCCTTGGTAAGTTGTTCCAATGGCGAATCACCCTCACTATTAAAAACGTGCCCCGATCACCAGTTTGAATTTCTCTAGTTTGAGATTCCAGCCAGTGGACTGTAGGTGGACAGATCTCCAGCAGGGCTTACCGGTGCTGATGGATCCCACCCAACCCATTTCCATGCGCAACAGCCATGAGTTGAGCCCGCTCTCCCAAGAGTGACTGTTCAGGATAGGATCCCATGGCACCCCCCGCACGATGGTCTCACCATCAAAAGAACAAAGCCAACACCGGCTGTTAAAACATCTATGTGGGCATTTATTACAACACGTTGTTCCAAAGTACAAAAGAAAGGAAAAGAAAGAGGGTAAAAAAAGCACTGCTGTTTACAGCCTCCGGTAATAAATAAATAAAGACAGGACAGGGCAGAGCTTGTCTCTCGGTCCTGCCAGGCGCCATCCGACTTCAGCATTGGTGTAACAGGCAGGAGATGCGTTTGGTTTCAGTGACTAACTGAGAAGGGAATGGAACACAGCGGGCTGGTTGCAAGATACTGTCTCCCCAGCTAGCGCTTAGAATGCATTCCAAGTGCCCCTGTCCGTTCTGGACCCAATCTCTCTGCTGAGGGACGCTGTGCGTTTGCTAATGAAAGGTCTGGGGCTCTCCTGTCTGGTATTGCACACCTCCTGAGCAACATTCATGGGGGCTAGGAGTGCTCAGCCCCTCAGGCCCCAAATCCACAGCATTGTCTGCAAAACAGGTGATCCTCCATCTGCCCTGCCCCATTTAATCCCCTAGCCATCTCTGCCTGGAAATGTACTTGAGAGAGGAAGAATGGAGCCCAAACTGGATTTCTAGAAGAGCTGGAATGGATTCTACATATGGCTCCTGAGAAGAGGATAAAGCCTGAACTGGATTTCTCTGCTTCTCTAGAATGGATTTTGAATGACAAAATAAATTCAACACAGCACAAGGAAAAGACGACTCCTATCTATAATAAACCACACTCATGTTAGAGATGATAGGCCATTGCATGGCTGCTCTTAGAAGGGCAACATTAATCCCCTTGATTTAAAAATGACTTCTAACTGGGCTGGCTAGTCAAAGAGATAATATTTGATACTGTGGCACAGAGAGGATTCCCTTCCTATTGCACTGATACTTTCTCCCAGCCCTCCTCCCCACCCAGTTGACTGGGTACTTGTAGGCTTCAGGACGAGTCCAGTCTATGGGTACAAGAAGCAAGTGCCAGGTTCTGGCCACCACAGTTACTCAGAAATCTTAACTCTGCTTCCTATGAATTCTTAATGCTGGAAAACCATAGTTATTTCTGCCAGCAATGAATGCACTTATGGGGCTGTTCCCCCTCTCTTCTTGCATCCCTATCATTATTAGAGGCCAGTCTGATCAGATCTCTCTTTCCCCATGGGCTGGTCTTCCACTAAGCCCCTTCTGGGCAGCCTGGAGCTCTGCTGCTCTAAAAATGAACATCCTCATTCCCCAGAAGGTGTGGCTCCTTGGACAAAGAACGATCATCAGGTGGGCTGGGAAACTGAACCCAAGAAAGCCCAGGATTGCTCCCCAAAGTAAGGTGCGGTGGCTTTGGGCAGCGAGGAGAATGCTGCCAAAATAGCTGGTGATGCCAGGCCATTAAACCATTCCTGGTAAAGATGAACTTCCTGGATTCAGCCACCAGATTGGGGAACCCTGAGAGCATGTGTGCATTGACTGTTTCCTGGAAACCTGGTCAATTTTCCTTTAGTTTTAAGCTTGTGCCTTTGAATTCTCCATTCCTGCTCCCTACAAACTTGAGTAGACTCCAAGGCGTGTGGGTGTGAGTGTGGGGGAAAGAAAGGCATTGCCCTGGGCTTTGTTGGTTTCAGAATCTCTGGAGGTTTCACCCTTTCAAATCCACTCACACGGGCCTACCCATGTGTGTGCCTTCTCCAGGACAGCTAATGAGCTAGGCCTGGCACAGTATAGTGCAGCCAGCCCCAGACTGGTGGGGCAGGTACAGGGTTGAGGCAGGTGGGGAATGGAGAGGTGGCTGGGGGTCTGCACTTATTCACAACAGAGAACCAAAGAGCAACATACAAAGATTAAGAAGAAAAAATTACATAATAGTAATAATAATAATAATAATTAATAAATACTTAAATCTATAATTCATAGATTGCAATTACAACACTGATAGCTTATTATTGGTAGTTTAAGAGGGAAGGCAGAAGGGGTTTCTTTTGGGTGTAGGCTTTCTATAACAGAGACATGACAGGGATGCATGGCCAGAAAAAGAAACAAACACAGAGACGAGAGATTGGGAACACAGCACAAGCTAGGAAAATACCTTTGGGCTTCAGTGTTGCCGACTCCTTTCCTCCCAGGATCCCTCCCCTTGCCAGTCCTCTGAAGCTACAAAAGAAATGGGGATGCTGCAGGGTGTCAGGGAGTTAGCCAGTTATGCCTGACTGAGTGTGACTCAGCCTTGCACTCCTTTAGAAGCTAGAAGATAAGGGGCATTCTAGAGAAGGGCCATCTGGGTAGCTTTACTGGCTGCCCTTAAGAAGGCTGAAAATCTACCAATTCGCACCTGCACTCCAAGCAATGCAGCTATTGCAGGAAATGATTGGATGTTCTAATCAGCAGGGCACCAATCAGATGCTTTATAAATTCATCCGATTGTCCAATAGGGGGGCTCATTTACTCTCCTTAGGGACAATCCTGCTTCAATTTAAATCAATGGGACAGAGTCTGATCTCACTTACCCTGCTGTAAATCAGAAGTAACTCCACTAAAGGCAAGAGTGATACATCACTGTGAACCAGGCCCAAGTGAGATCAAAATCAGGCCCAATGACTCTGTGGATCAGAGATTCTAGCTGACAGTTCATTAAAGAAACACAGTAAGGGATGGGGACCAATTGCAACAGATAAAATCCTCCAAGGTAACTAACCTTGATACAAGAGACAGAAAAGATCTATTAAGCCATGTAGGGCTTAATCCAAAGCCCAATGAAAACAATGGCAAGACTTCTATTGAGTCCAATGGCTTTGGATCAGTCCTACCGCTTGAGGCTAGTGCAGGAATCTTCCCTAGAGGACATTTTTCTAGAGTTTTAGCTTTAAAATGCTCCAAGTGAGAGCAACTCTTCCCACAAGGACCATCAGAAAGGGCAGGGCAAATGCAAGCATATTCACAACACTGATGAGATGGGTTATAAACGCCCCATGGCTCTTAAAACCTTTGGCTTGGTTGCAGAATGGACAGCAGAGTAGGTGTCACCTCAGTGTGTGCAGACACAGAGCTGCTGAAGGGCTTTGCTGACAGGCTACGGTTCTTTGAGGGAGACTGGACAAAAAAACAAGAGACCCCCATTTTTGCCTGCACCACAATAGCTGTTTCTCTAAAATGCCACAAGATGGCAGATGTTCAGAGCCCTGCTGCTATTTCTGAGCAGGCAGCTGCTCATGTCGTTCTTCTTCACTGACCCTGTCTGCTTGTTGTTCGTATTTATAAAGGTTGAGATTGCAATATCAGGCTGAGGATGGCCCGGATGTGTCCTAGAGCACACTCTGCAGTGACTTCATGCAGGACTAAGGGGTTGAGCCCCATCACATCTCATGTCATGTCTGTCATTAGGTTGCATCTACACTATATTTTTAACCCCCAAATTTCCTACCATTGCAGCTCTAATAATGGTATTAGTGCTGGGGGGTAATAATGTAGAGTTGGATCCTGTGTACCACTGTGTCATCCAAGTCCACCCAAGTCTTGAGATCATAGTGGTAAAAATGCCAGTGCCTTATCTACTCTAGAACTCCACTATAGCTACCATGGGTGGGGCTGGACTAATGCTAGCAGTGGTGGCAAGACCCACCGCAACAGGCAAAGGAAACTCTTAATTCTCTCTAACGCTGTAGGGTTAAAACATGGGAGACAGCAACTCCGGGCTGAGCTGATGCTGGCAGTCATGGAATGCCAGCTGTGGTGGAAGGGAAATACCCCTTACAATACAGAGGCTAGCAGAGATCCAGGCAAGGGACCGTGTCTTTGGGGTGCTGTTGCAACTGCTGTAGCTCATACTTCTCCCAAGCTTCAACCAATAATATGTGAATGGGAGTGAGGGGTTACCTGAAGGCACCCTCATTAGCTCCTCCCTCTGCACTGCAGTGTAGCTGGGTCACATGTCATGGAGGGGAAACTATCATGAACTTCACAGCTGAAGAGGTCTCTGTACTAACTCCAGTTCTAGTGCACCAACCCTCAGAAGATCAAGGGCAGACCCTACATGAACAGATGTCCGTGTGACTTGCAGAACAAGAGCGAGTCATTTACTGCCGCAAAGCAGCTGGATGGCTCTTCCCTGTGTCATAAGGCAAGTATCCTTTAGGAATGCTGATCGATACTGTTGAAATGGTCTAAGAAGCTGTGTGTTCTCTATGGAGACACTTCTGTATATGCTTTCAGGTCAGGTGGAATGCAACAAGGATATAAATGGGGATTCGCCATTTGGGGTGCATGATCCTGTACTAGGCTTATGGAACATAGGTAAGATGTGAACATAGAAACACTGTCCTGCTGGCATATTTCAGTGTAACCTCTTGCTGTCTGGGGCTGACCAGCCAATTGACCTGGCTTGGCTGAGAATCTCTGAATTTATATGTTGAAATTTAAAAAGGGGGGGGGGGGAAATGTAGACAAACATTTGTTCTCTTTTTTGTGACCAGCTCTAGGGCTGGCTGGAATTTTTCAAATTTCACTGAAAATGGAGCACAGACAGAGTGAGAAAGAAGAAGATTGGCAGCCCAAAAAGGGTTAAAACATGAGACAGGTCATATTGCAGACAGTGGTTAGTGGGGTCTCAGTGGTTAAAAGCTCAAGAAGCCCTTTGAAAGCTTTTCTTTGTTATAAACCTCCCGATCTAGCCGGGATGCTATGTAATAAACCAGTTCCCTTAGAATCACTGCCTCCCCACTGTCTCCACACACCATATCTCTACGCTGGATGGGGATGCAAGAAAGAAATGGAAAGGGTTCCTTCTACCTCCTAAAACATAGTAGTCGGCAACACTGATGCTGATTTGAGGTGCTCACTGGAAATATGGATACTGTGTTTTTTAAGAGAGTTGAAATGAGTATCTACCCCCCTTTCAAAACAGCTGTAGGAAAAAGAGGGATGGGTTAGGCAGAGGGATCCAACCATCATCAAAACTTGTATTTTATTAATACTTCAACATGGAAAATCAAATGCATTTAATCATCCAACTTTCCCCTCCCCCACTACCAACTCCAGCACATTTTGGGGTACCAGAAGGGATTATTTGAGGTTTCCATGCTTCTCACTTAACCCCTTTTAAAAAAAAATCAAGAAGCCTAATGGCAGTCATAAGCCTCCTTGGAGATTCCCCTCTCCCATCCGCCGAGGACACGCGCACATCAGCAGAGACAGACAATGATCATAAGGAAAGTGACAATCTGATGCCACCAGAACATTATAATTATTATTGCAACTCCTCACGGCTTCGGTCTGTGGTTAAGTTTTAAACCTGAGATCATTATTTTTGTCTTGTGTAGTTTGATTTGAAAATAAACCAACACAAAAGAAAAAGAAGGGAAGGTGGGAAAAAAAAAAGCTGGGGGGGATCTAAAAATCACACACAACACACATGTGAACAAAAACCCCTGAGGTATTGGCTTGGAAACCAGCACGATATTAAAAAGAGGAAAGCTACAGAGAGCAAAATGTGCTTTGCAGCAGAGATAGATCTGTGCCCATAACACCAAGCAGCGGCTCAGCAGCAAGGTCTAAGCATCCCGCTGCGTGGGAGAAACACAGTTTTTGGGGTGAGGGCTTTGCTCCCCTTTAAAACAGGGACTTTCATAAAGGGGAGAAGCAGCCAAACGTGTCTGAGAATCAGAACAGAAGCTACTCGCGCCCCTTTGTCATTTTTCTCTTGACCGCGCTTGCTAACTTATGGAAGCTTTCTGCACTGTGTGCTCATTGGCCTCCTTGGGGGCTCCCTCTTGCACCCTTGGCTTCAGTAACAGCAGGACCTGGCCCTTCCTCAACACCTGTGTTATTGTAAAGGTCCCACCTGGGCCCGACGCCACCTCTAAAAAAATAAATCAAGGTAAGAATCCCACGCAGGAGGCCTTCCCTAGGAAATCCTCACCCTTTACCCACCCGAACTCCCAGAGGGAGACGGGTTTTTGGCAGGGATTCCCTTGGAGGCTGGCACCCTGCCTTCTGCTGGGTAAGAACGAACCATCATTCGCTTCAGTTACTCTGAAAAGGTCAATTAACAGAAACTCTCCAAAGCAAAATCCCAGGAAAAGAAAAACAGTGAAACCAATTTTCTTAGCAACACACCTGAGCCTGGGAAGATGCTGCTGCAGGTGGGTGGGTGGGTTTGGAGATAGGGGTGGGGTAAGGAGGGAGGGGCTTGTCCTCACACTAACATCCCAAATATTGGGTTTGGTTCTTAGCCTTTCAATGCATTTCCTGGCGTTTCCTCTCTCTCTTTTCCTTCCTGAAGTGCCCATTCAGTTTGGTCTTTCATTGGCTTCGCCTGTGTCTTTGGACTGTTTTCCCTCTGCCCCATGTCACTTGCATGCCCACTGGAGCCCCAGTGCTGGATATGCCCCATGATCATGCTCTCTTACACACACACACACACACACACACACACACACGGATAGAGAACTGGTGCTGGAGTACTGAGCAATATTTTATGCTAAGCACTCAGAGGTAACTAACTATCTTGCAGTGGGAAACCTGTCGCTGTTCTCAGGACCCCCTGGGCTTCATTCTGGTACTACAATAAATAACTCCATTTGTTCCTAAGGATGAGGCCTGTATTTTCCTCCAGGGTTCAGCCCCTCTGGACAGCCATGTGGAGTAACACTGGGAGGGGAAAAGCAGGGCCTCAAGGGCTTTTCATCACAATCTCACCCATGGCACAAGGGTGAGAAGTGTTCCCTTTTTCTCCTGGACACTATCGCCCCCACCTTCTCCCCAGAAGCACCCTGAGCAAGTGGGCAAGGCAGTTGCTCATAGGAGTTCAGCCCCCACAGAACCCCTCGAGCATTATCTAGGGAGTAAGTTTTTCTCCCAAAGGACCCAGTAACCCCCAAATTCTCTAATACAACCCAGTATGGGTTGCTGCCCCTTTAATGAAAAGCCTCCTCTGCTCCCTCATTCCCCACATCCCAGGCATCCCTGATCCAATCCTCTGTTTTTTCCATAGACCAATGCCAGCCCTTCTGTCCCACAACTGGGAGAGGGAAAGATTCTATGGCTTTGATGGAGACAAGAGAGAATCAAATAGGAACCAAAAGGTAAAGCAGCAGCTTTCAGGAGAGCATTTCCTGCTCAGTTTGTGTTGAAAGAAGATTTTTTTTTTTTTTTTTCCTATTTTTAAAAAAGTGCATGAAAGATTTTTCCTGCCCCGTTTTTGCTTTGCGCGCAGGGAATGGGGAGTCCGTGTCGCTGACGTGCGCTACAGAAGGAGTCACAGGCCGCGGATATTGCTTAGAAACTCGTGTTTCAGATTTAAATACCATAGACAGTAAAAATAGAGCTGAAAGTACCGCCCCACAATGTCTGCAAATCATTGCCAGAATGAACAGCTTCAATAAATTAAAAACAAAACCATTGAAATATTATTTACGGCTCAATAAAAATTGCAGTAAAACCATTTACCTTTTTCTTTGTGTGGTTTTTTTTTATATTATATATAATATATATTTATATATGTATAGGGCTGCGGTAGTGCAGCATTATTAAGATACTTAGCCAGAAAAAACACAGACAGAGCATACTTAGTGCACCAGGAGGAGAAAAAGGCTTAGGGGGAGGAGCCAATGCAAATATCCCCACCCCACCCTTGGGAGGGAGCCATCTACATTCCGTCCCCCACCCTGATACAAGGGACGGAGAACTGGGGTGAGCAAAGCCTCTGCCATTTCCCATTGGTCAGGATAACGCTTTCTTCTAAATGAAGACACCCCTACTTTTTGACTGCACATTTGCAGAGAAAATATTAAATGCCCCTCAGAATTTTAATCTGAGAATGACCCAGCTGGGGTGCTCAGATGTGATGGGCGTCTCCCCCACTTCAGTCAAAGATCAGCTCTTCCATCACCCCAGCGAGTCACTTTCTGCCCGGGGGGCAGAGAATCCAGGGGTGAAAGGGTTAATAGGCTCCTCCCTCCCCAAAGGGAATGCAGCCAGGGTGGGGAGGGGGAGAGGGGAAAAAAAGAGACCAAGGGGGAGGGGCACTAAGCATGCACAGTCATGTTTCCTGACTTTGAATTCATTCACCTTTGTTTCATTTTGGCATGTGTGCACCTGCAAATACACACACGGGTATAAATACTGTCCCCACCCCACCCCCACCTTGCCTCTTCCCAGTTAAATAGCCACCCCTCACTCTCCAATGCCCCAGGATGAATGTCAGGACACCTCAATGATCTCCATGCTGCCCGAAAAGCTAGACTGTTTGCCTATTTTGCCCAGGTCTTCCCGGGACCTGCCCTCTGACATGGTCTCCTCGAACTCCATCTGGCAGCTCCTCCTCTTGAACTGCTTCTCCGCGGCAGCATCCTCGTGCCAGCTGTGCCGCCCGTCCCTCTGCTCCACCCTCTGCTTGTCCCTCAACCTGATCTCGCAGCTGCCCTGCAGGGTGCTGCAGCTGAACGAGGAGTACGAGGCAGCGCTGGCAAACAAGGCCCCGCTCCCTCCGCCGCTGCCACTGCCCACCGCCGAGTCTGTGCTAAAGTACCAGGGGTTCTCCGACGACGGGGTGCTGGGTGATTCCAAATGCACACCCCAGGCACCTACCCCCCCTCCACCGGCAGAGTTTGGTGTCGCAGCTGGCTGTGTGGGCTGCTGTCCCACGCCAGGGAGACTCAGCCGCAGTGTCTGCTTGAGATTGTCCTCCACACTGGTGCTTTTGTGCATGGCACACACCCCACTGAAATTGAGGCTCATCCCGTGGGCAGGGGAGCCCGCCTGATGCCTATGTTTCCGCCTCTGCCTCACCTTGGCTTCTAGCAGGAAGTCCGGCCCACTGGGCCAGTCGGGACTATCCAGCACAGGCGAGTACTGGCACAAGCCGTTAGGTCCAGAAGGGCTGTCCAGCTTGCAAAGCTTGGGGGCTTCCCCGGTGTCAGCGGGGCCTGGGATGTCCTGCCTCAGGCCGGGGGAGTAGGCTGATTTGATGTCCAGGGAGAAGGAGCGCTTTAGCCGGTTGGTGTCTTGGATGCGCTCCGAGGACAGGTGTAGGCCATTGAGTCCTTGCTGTAGTGCTGTGGGTGAGACAATTTTGGGAGCTCCTGCTGGCTCACTGCGGGAGGGCGCCAAGCTTGTGCTTTTTGATATGTCCTCGGCCTTTTCTGAGGTAGAAAGCTTCAGGTGCCTGTTGCTCTCAGGCACTTCAGCTGGGTCTGGCTGGGCATCCCCCTCATTCCTATCACCTTGGGCCTTCAAGGCCTTGAGGAGCTTCAGGCTCCTCTCGTACTCCAGGAGCTGGCCCAGGAAGTTGAAGTTGGGCGATATGGATGGGCGTCGGTCTTTGACAAACCTGCAAGGGTAGACAAACAGATGGGGTCGTCACTTGGTCTTTGGCCCACCAGCTAGGCTACCTTAGCTCTGCCGGCCTCCTCAGCGGGAGAAGCTAATGCATTCTACCAAAAGCTCAGAAAGAAACAGGTGATGGGCGATCCACAATGCCTCAGGGCAGTCTGCAGAGAAAGCCAGGACTGTTTAGGCTCTAGGAAATTTACCACCTCACTCTACTTTCCCATGGGCAGCTCCCCACTCCCATGGCATGCAGTCCATTGTGATATTTCAAGACTGCTCCTGAAGGACAGCCCTCCGCCTCCCATGAATGTAGGGCAGCACCAACCTGCTGCTAGGCCAGCCTACACCAGATTTCACCCTCGTCAAGGGTTTTGCTTCTTGAAGCTGAGCCCTTCATTTCCTTTGACTGGGTCAACAATGAGGGGTGTGCACAGGCACTGCTCTGTGGTAGGGCACAAAGTATATACCCTATCCAGGGCCCAGTGTTAGCCTAGCAGCGTGTAACCCACTAGCACTCAGAAAATTCATTCAAAGCAATGCTTTGAAACCCTTTCTGACAGCTTCTCTCCGCCTGTGCCAGCCTGCTTCCCTTTACTAGAGCAGGGGTACATTCACGTACTTCATCATTCCCCTCATCCACTCGCACCTACCTGTAGGCGTCGTCTGAAGACATGCCCATGGTCTTCATGATGTAGGCGATGGCAATGGTGGCTGATCGGGAGATCCCTGCCAAGCAGTGAACGATCACTTGGCAGCTGGATACCTTGGCCTTGTCTGCAGCATGGTACAGAAAGAACAGCTTTCAGAGGGGTGCCCCTAGAGGTTGGACAGAGTCATTTCATCCTCTGTCCCCATGGAACATCTTTGTGAGGCTGTATGTCTAGTGGCCAGCGCAGAGGAGTGGGAGGCAGGACTCCTGGGTTTTCCCCCTGGCTTTGCCAGTGACTCGTTATGTGACCCTGGGCTAGTCTCTGGGCCTCTCGGTGTCCCCATTTCCCCATGTATAACATGGACATAAGGACACTGGCCTTTGTTTCTCACTGAGACCCTCAGTTAAAAGGCTTTCTTACAAGAGTGCAAAGTATTATCATTTGCACAACTAGCTAGCTGTGGCAAAGGTCACACTTTCAAATGACTTTGATGCTGGTTGAGGTGCCAGGTTTTCTAGGGGAGGAAAGGCTTCTCCTAGTGGCTGAGTGTGCATGTTTCACTGTGGGTGAAGGAACAAGGGCTCTCTGGACGAAGAGAGGAGTTGGGGGAAGAAGAGCCTGAGTTTTGTTGGCTGGGATAGTGGCAAGGAGTGAAGAGTCCAGCTCCCAGTGTCTGGGGCCACCACAGCAAAATCAAGACTGGAGCTGTGTAGCGGGGTGGTCCCCCGCTCCTGCCCTGAAGGGCTTAAAACAGCCAGGGACCAGGGCTGGGGCAAAGGAAAAGCTACAAGGCTGATTGGGGCATGGCCCAGCTGCGGCCGCTTCCCCAGTCAGGCCACAGCTGGCCTGTATAAAAAGGCTGGGAGTCAGAGGCCAAACAGTCTTTCTCTGCCTTCAGAGGGAGAAGGACCTGGCTGTAGCGAGCTAGAGACAGAGTACTTGAGTGGAGCAGGGCTGGGGAGCTCCAGCCTGGAAAGCCCCAGGCTGCAGCCTAGTAGGAGGCCAAGGGGTACTGGGGATTGCAGAGGGCAGCCCAGGGGAAGGCCAAGGCAGCAGGTCCAAACCCAACCTTGCTAGTGAGGAGTAGGCTGATACTGCAGTCTGCCCCAGGATGTGGGGCTAGACGATGACTGGCAGTGGCCTTATTCTGAGGTGAGGTAGGGATAGTGGGTGGGGGTTCCCCATGGAGGGGAGACCCTAGTACTGAGGGGTGTACTGCCAGGGGGCAGCATCCCAGATAAAAGGGCACCAGGGCCCAGAGAGGGACACGGGGGCCAGAGGACAGGCAGATCACTGGCCTGCAGGGGGTGCTCCAGGGCGCTGGAAGAGCTAATTCCCTGAAGAGCCCAGCAGGAGGCGCCACAGGGGTGAGTCCGCTCCTCTACAAGCTGGAAGAAGTAAATAAAGGACCAGGGAGCTGCCTCACCGATGAACTCAATGGACTTGTCCAGCCAGGGAAGCAGCTTCTCACAGTAGTTGTCATTGACAGGAATGCGCATGAAGTGACTGTCACAGATGAAGTCTGGCTTGGGGCAGGAGTTGCTGGCGTTGAGGACGTAGCTTATTCCATTCTGAGTCATCAGGTCCTGGTGACAGAGAAGATACAAGTGACGTGGGCTCAGTCAGTACAAAGCTGGACCTTCCCATCTACGCTCTCATAGGCCTCACGCACTCCAGCGTTCTCACTCACAGTTACTCTAGTGCAGTTCAAAGTAGCAACTTTGGGGAGCACCAGCACAGATGAGCCAATGAGGAGTAAACCATTGTCATATGGACCTGCTCTGAGCATGGTTAAGCTGTCTGCCAGGTTCTCACATTTGGGGTCCTGATCAGGTGTTGGGGGTGCTGACCACCTTGCCCTTCCATACTGGTACAGAGAAGTGGGTCTTGGCTAGATAGCAGGGAGTGTGCTTGGGGGCGGGGGGGCTGGTAGGGGAAAGACTGAGAACCCCAGAGCTAGAACAATGGTGGGAAATTTTAAGGAAGAAAAACAAAATAGTCAAGGGTTACATCTACTGTAGAAGAAAGCTTAGAGGGGCCAGGTTCAAGTGAAGAGAACATCTTACTAGCAGAGCTAGTATTCACTGAATGTAGTCCTCTTTTCTGTTCCCAAATCACTTGGGAACAAGTCATGATTTCCCACAGATTTGTTCACTGTTTGAAACTCTCCACTCCGTGGTTTACCGGAGCCAGTTTCAGTCTATAAGAGACCTGTAAACTGTTTGCTGCTGGTATCAATCCCAGCATAGGAGACTGGCAATTCAGAACATGAGCTGTTTTGTTTGGGACACATTTAGGTCATGTGATTTCCTTTTGGGATGAATATAATCATGGCTCTGGAGCGAACTCTTTGGACTAACCAATTGAGAAGTAGCTTTCCATGAGTGTTCTGCCATAGTCATTACTAGTCACTGCTTCTTCCCAACGTTCCTGCCAGTAACCTGACTCGCCTGCATGCTTACGGAAAGTGAATGAAAAAGTCAGAGGGCTAGTTCAAAATGTCAAGTGAGTGTTCATGGATCATTTCTTGCCACGTTCTGCTCATTGGGCACACGTATGTGACCTCTCATCCTTCCCAGAGAGACAAGGCTAGATTCACCAGTGTGCATGGCCAGAGCAGCATAAAACGGCCAGAGCGTAGTGGTGAATATGACCTGTTGTGCCCCCTGAGAGCTGAAATCCAAGCCAGATTATGTCCAAAACAAGGGAGATCATCCATACCAAAGATCCGATAGTTCTAGTCCTATGAATGCCTGTTCTGTGCTATTTCGGGGTGAGGAAGAGGAACAGAGAATTGAATGGAAGAAAGGAGTTGAGAAAAATAAAGGTGCCATAAAATAGACAGTGATTAGGAAACTGGAGAGAGAAAAGAAACCTCCCCCCCGCCCCAGGCTGAGCCCTGTGGCATGGCAGCAGTGAGGTGCAGAGCTGCCATATGGGGTTTGCGTAGGGTGACCATACGTCTTATTTTGGCCGGAACAGTCCCTTTTTTAAGCCCTGTCCCGGCCATCCCGACTTTTTTTTCCCCAAAAGGAGGCATTTGTCCCGTTTGCTCTTGCTGACTTGATCAACTGGCAAGAGCAAACAGGATAAATGTCCACTTTTGTCAAAAAAGTGGGGTGTGGTGCAGAGGGGGCGAGCAGAGAGAGAGGAGGCAGGGCTGGGGGGGGGAGCAGCATTCCAGCATGTGGGGCCCCCCGCTGGGTTCCAGCAACCGGGCAACAGCCTGGTGTGGGGCTGGGGGGTTTCGAGCGACTGGCAACAGCATGGGGGGGGGGGCAGGGACTTGGGCAAGCGGTTGGGGATGTCCAGTTCTCTCTTTGGGAAATATGGACACCCTAGGTTTGCGTGCTTACAAGGGACCCTGCTATCCCATCATAGAGGGTTGTTCTCTGCCAGCCCTGCTCTCTAATGCCCTGCCAGCCCTGCTCTCTAGGTTATGAGAAGCGAGTGACTCTTGTCTTCAATAATGACCCACTGCGCAGAAAGGGAAGCAAACACCTCTCAGAACAAAGGGGTGAGCAAAAGGTCGTGCTGAGATGGGGTGGGGGGGGGGCATGGTTGAAGCCTCGTCAGTCCGACGCCTGATGTAGGGCTCTCAGGGGACACGGCCGAGATTTCCTCCCTGAATTCCATTTAATTCACCCCGTGGTTCCTGTCCTAACTAAGCTTACATAAGAGTCTCTTCCTCAGCAGGCTCCCTAGAAGCCTAACCTCAGCTCCTAGGAGCCAGCCCAGCTCCTGAGCTCACATTCTTGGCATTTTTCTCTTTCATTTCCTTCTACTCCCTATATATAAAAATTTCTCTCTCCTCTTTCTGGTCCACCCCCATACTCCTGTCAGATGCTTCTCCCCTGGCCCTCTCCCCAGGCGAGAATGTCTGACTGGCTCCCTCCTGCCCACAGTAGGCGCCCAGCGGAATTTTAACTACAATTTCTGTTTCTTTCTTCTCTCATTTATTTTCTTCTTAAAACAAAATTCCTTCCCCAAGGTGACATCACTGCCCAAGCATTCCAGCACCTTTAAAAGGACAGTACCCCTCTTTTCCCTCCGCCCTTCTCTTCCCGAAGAGAATCTTTGTCTATTTCCAGGCCTCTTTAAAGAGCTCTTTGCCTCGGACTGTGGCTGCTGGCCCCTTTCCCACTCCCCTCCATGATTAAACATCCCAGCTTAACCCCTCCTCTCCCTCTGGCTGCCAAGCTGGGCCTGGAGCAGCTGAAGTCAACCTTGGCAGCCCAGATGGCAGGGGGGATTAGTGGGGAGAAGCTGGCTCCCTCGATGTGAATCTTCCAGGGGCTCCCTTGGGGCGAGGCATCCTGGCAGCTCTTCTTCTTCCCCCCTTCCCAGCTCCATTGTGCCCCTTCTGTCTCTTCCCCATTGCTCCTCTCTGCCCTTCCAGCTCTCCCACCCCTTCTTGGATTGGATGCCACTCACCAAGCCCAAAGAGCTTAAGTCTTTTCTACGTGCATATTCTTGGCCATGCTCCCTCACCCTTTGCCACCATGGAACATGGCAGTCAGGGGAATCAGGCAGCTACCCTCAGGTTGCAGAGGGAAGGCCGGTCCTTCCTCACACATCCCTCCTGGACTGAATCAAACCACAGCAGGACAACACCCCTGCCAGCCAAGAACTCTGCAAGGCTCCTCCTGCGGATGCTCTCCACAGCCTCCCGCAGGCCTTTGTATGTATGGGCCGTGTCCTTAGCTCCTTATTCACTCCAAACTGGGCAGGACAAGCCATTGAAAGTTACACGTGCATTGTCCTCAAATGCGAAACGTACAACAAGCTTCTCCCACGTGCCACCCCGACCGGATAGGCCTGTTCCAATTGGTAAGGGGCAACGGCAGCATGGGGCAGGCATGTCTCCCCACCAGCAAGGCCATACCTTGTTTAGGACATCTTTCTGGGAGCCCAGGTAGAGATGAGGCAGGATGCGGGTGGGGCCAACATTGGCCACTGGCAAGCATGGCTGGGAGATGCTCATTGGCAAGATGGCAGCTGGTTTCCCTTCGCAGAGTCCTGGGAAGCAAGACGAGAAGGTGGCAAAGCCCCCTGCAGACAGAAGGAGAAGATTTAGACTATGTAAACTCTCCAGGACAGAGGTGGTCTCTCATTGTGTGTCTGTAAAGTGCCTGGCACAATGGGGTTCTGATCACGGTTAAGGATTCTTGGTGCTAGAATAAAACTGGAAGAAGATACCGATAGTCAATTATAATCAAGCCAGCCCCATAAGAGACTGGTGTTTAACTGATTGTAGGCAACCAAGTAGCTTAATGATGGGCATCAGTGCCAACTTATAGGTAAATGAAATATACCGAAAGTGCAGGGGAGGCTGGGGGGGAGGCAGAACTAAATAACCTATGTTAGAATTTGGCCAGGACCCCAGGGCTAATCCTCTTTCTCGTATAAATACTTCCATGGGATTTTTAGTGACTACAAGTGGTCGGCGCCAGGATTTTAGATCTGATCCAAATGACAGCAACCCCAGCAGTGCAGTGGTTTGCTAGCACTGTACTGGGCAGTGGCTCAAGGGAAGAGAGTCAGCTAGGGAACATGGCAATGGCTCGCTGCAGTACCTAGGTGTTCTTTGGAGGTCTTCAACCTAACCAGTCTGACCCTGCTTAGCTTGCGGTTTTTGACAGGATCAGAGCACAAATAGCTGCAGGCCTTTGTACTTGAGCAGGATCAGCGTCAGAGTCACGCAGTGTTTTAAGTGGCATTTACCCCCCCTCCTCCAAACACACAGCGCCTCCTGTCTCTTTCCTAAATGAATGCCTGCCTGATTATGCAGCCCTGTGTACAGTGCTAATTAGAAAAATGAGTCCGCATGCAGAGGAGGAGTGAGGTGGGCGGCTGGGATGCAGAAAGTATTTGGACAGAGAGGGTGGAATCTGACTTTTTTTAAACAGATTCCTGAGCAATTTTTCATGGTCAGATGTTGCTAAACGTGATAGCAAGAAGGGTCCGATTCACTGCGCCAGCGCAGGCTGCAAACCTGTTTGTGTCTGGTTTGCTCAGACAGCCCCAAACACCAGATTCAGAGGAATAGCTATGGGGTGGCAGAAGCAGGTAGGGGATGACAAGTGAAGCTAGAATTCTGAGAACTCTAGTCCAAATACAGAGCAGCTCTTCTGAGTCCGAAAATCATAGCCATGCTCACACAGAAGGAATGGTGAAACAGGGCACAGAATCTTGTTGCACTTTCCAGCCAGGGATCTCCAAGCGCTGTATGAACCTGTACAAATCCTCACCTCCCCATGCAATTAGGTAACAGCATTAGTTCATTTTGCAGATGGGGATGCTGAGGCTCAGAGAGGTGAAGCGACTTGCCCTAGACCAGTGGCACAGCCAGGAATGGGAACTCAGGTTTCCTGCCTCCACACCTCTGCTAGGCCACAGCATAGCCAAATGCAGGATTTACCGAAAAGAGCACACAACATGGTCCCTCCTTGCACTGCTTTAACTTGTTATACATGCAAGAGACCTGCATTCTTGAGGGAGTTTCTTAACACCCACCGACTCCTTTCTCCACACACAGAGTTAGGCCTAGCAACCCTTAGCGAGAACTACATCTGGTCTAGGTTACCAAGCCGAGCGCTCGTGTCAATACAAAGGGTCCCGAGTGGTGTACGTCCCCACTCTGTGCTTTTGATACTAGGGACTATAGATAGTGTAATACAGACTGGGAGTTTCACAGAGGCTGAACAAAGTTCCTGACTCCCATTGACTTTCAGAGAAATCTGGATGTCTAAAATAGGGTGACCAGATGTCCCGATTTGATAGGGACAGTCCCGAATTTGGGGGCTTTTTCTTATATAGGCATCTATTACCCCCCACCCCGTGTCCTGATTTTTCACACTTGCTATCTAGTCACCCTAGTCTAAATCCATTAGGTCTCACTGAAGCTCCCAGCCATTGTTTCTATAGGGACTGGTTCTGTTTCTATAGAGACGAGTTCAGGTAAAATAAGAATCCCTGCCCTTGAATCCAGCCCATCTCCATAACTGAACTAAAACATCTATTGAAGTTCACTTAACGACCTTCCACCCAACCCCTCCCCCTCTAGGGGGATGGAAGAGGCTGAAACATGGCCCTCCTCCCCCAGGTCATACTCAGCAGGGTCCTGCCAACTTCACAGCAAACCCCCCTGAGAATCCCCATCCTTACCTTACTGGATCCCAATGTGGGGCTCTGATGAGTCCTGACTAGTGCTGAAACCAAATTTCCAGTGCTCCAGGGTAAAGTGGGGGAGGGGTTGACACAATGGTCTCTGCTGATAGCAGCAGCAGCCAGGTCTCATAGACTGAATGCCCAAGTCCTGGGCCCTATCTCTGCTCAGATGGGGAAGAGGTCCTCAGTCCTCCAAACAAGGGAGATGCCTCATCTTCCATGCCATGGGAACCCCAAGCTGCTTTGGACAGACACCAACCCCCTTGCCATTGGCCCTCACTTTGAGTCCTTTGAAGAACAATGCCTTTTCCCAACACAGCCACATAGCAGGCAGCCCAGTTGTACTTGCCCAAGGAAGCCACTATATTGGAAGAGAAATTGATCTCCAACCTGCAATATCTCCCCTCTGGCCACTTAAGCTTCCCTGTGTTGCTGGCACTTATCACCAAGAACAGCTACCAAGACTTTGGAGACTTGGGATATGAAGAGTTAAAGAAAGCACCTTCCAACACTTCCTCCTCCCCGGTTCTTTCATACATGACATCACCCCCCTCAATTGGGATATTAAATCAGAGTGAAAGAAAGACGCTCGGCACAGGTGCACACAAGCTTTGGTTACTCCCACTCCCTCCCTGGCCACATCAATCTCACCAGGAAGCATAAATCATGAGGCAGAGTGGGATTTGAGTGCAAAGAGTCCACATCTGGAGACTGCAGAAGAGGTTCAGTGGACAATGCAGCACAATGGGCAGCCAGGCAGAAGGGCTACCTGTTGCTCCCTCCCAGAGAGACCTTTCCTTCTATCAGTCATCAGTGCCAAGGGAAGGAAAACAACCGATCTCCTGTATTTTCATTTGGAGGGTGAATGTGTGGGGAGGTCTAGTCTTGCAATGAATGCGTAGCCGTACCAGGGCCAGGCTTGGGCCCATAATCCTTTGTTCACTCAAAAGGCTTAGGAAGTCTTAATAGCACAGAAACGGGTGTTTTTCATCCTGGAGCAAGGTGTGCGCCCTTCCCCCTGGAGTATAGGTTGGGAATCAATGCCTGCCTCCCCGCCCCCGGCCCCTCTACTTTGCTCATGTTCATTATTGGCCTATACAACTCAAAACTCTCTTTAGGAGCCAGGAGCATTCGAGGTGACATCATAGCTAAAGCAGGCTGGCACTTGCTGGCTGGCACTCTCCTAGCAATGCTCCCCCTCCTCTTGCCCCCGCCAGCACTTGCCTGCCTGCAGATCCTTTGCTGGCTCTGCTGGGGAAAGCACAGGCAAGTGACACAGGGGGCTGGGAAGCGTGCACGGGGAGATTCACTGAAAGGGACAGAGTCACCCTTGCCTCAAGTTTGTATGCCCCAACCACCTCTAGGGAGGAGACATGCTCCCTATATGGCCCACAACAAAGCACCTAAGCACATGCTTAACTTTAAGAACGCGAGTCATCCCGTTGAAGTCATTTAAACTACTCTTGTGCTTCACTTTAACATCACGCTTACGTGCTTTGCTTGACAGAGTCCTAGCTGAGCAAAACTTTTACCATTTTCTGCTCTGTCCCTTCATAAACCTCTTTCCACATAAACCTTAGTTCCTCCCAAACATCATTGCTCACAGCTATTGAGCAATCCCAGGGTTTGAAAGGGAACTGGGGAGACAGCCTTGAGCTGAGGACATCAGGCCCCAACACCTCTGAACTTTCAGGGATACAAAACCCAGCCTTAGAACGTGCAGCTACAGCAAGTCTTAAGTTTTTGGAAAGCAAAGCAGCTTCTTAAAATCACCCCAAAGGCAGTAACTGTCCCTGGCAGCATTCCAAGCAATACTTGGGCTTTCCCTTACCTACACAATACACCATGTTTTAGCGTTAATTCAGAACAAGAGGGGGCCGTTCTAGTCTTTTATTTGTAATGCTAACACTTCCCTGGGGCTGGCAGTGGGATTCTCCTGGCACGCATGGAACTAAGAGTGGGGGTGAGAATCTGTATTTGGGGTGGAGTGGGTGGAAAGAGATCTCGGGTTTCTTCTGGATGCTCCCTCAAGCAGGAGCACTGGCTGAGGCTCTTGGATAAGGAGCTGGTCCCTTGCAATGCACAGAACCTTATCCTTGGCCTGGACTCCAGCATTCCTGAGGGCTTTAGAAAACATTCCCTACTAAATCCAATGTTTTCCTGGCTTCTAGAGTTACCTACATCATGCGAGGGTGGAGTCCAAGCGAACAGAGAGATGTGTGTGGATGTGGGGCCCGAGGCTAGGAGAAGTGCTGACACCTGCTACTCCCACTGAAGCGGAGGAGAGAAAATTACAAGAGGTGAGCGCATCACAGGATCAAGACTCTGGTGGGACTCTCCACCTATCCCCAGGCTTCATGGATCAGTCCGTCTCTCTGAAGTAAGAAAAACCCTTAGTGCCTTCTACCTCAGGCTCTCAAAGAACTTTACAGACAGCAAGGACTGTAGCACCACTGGCATATATAGAATTGTTATTGTTCCCATTTAGCAGATGGGGAAACAGAGGCACAGAGTGCCTAAGTGACTTGCTCAAGGTGACACAGCAAGTCTGGGAACAGAACCCTGGTCTCCTGCCTCCCAGTCCTGTGCTTTCACTACTAGGCCCTGCTGCCTCCCTCCCTTTGTAAAACTACCCAAGCGTCCCTGTAAGAGGCTTTTCTCAGTGCTCTAGACACTTTGCTGCTGGTGACAGGAGTCGTGTTCACCCAGGGACGCAGCATGGAGCACTTACCTATTGTACACTGAAAGGAAAGAAGCTATTTCTTACTTCCATCCCCTCTCCTCTTCCCCTACCCTACATCCCAGACTCTCAACCCCCTCCCCCTGCCGCTTCCTCCGGCCCCAGATTGTCACAGAGGATATCAGTGACAACCGCCCATTAA